AAGGGTGGAGAGGATCCGAATCTCCACGGGGAGCTCGTTCCAAAGGGCCGGAGCAGCCCTTATTATATATTATAAATATATAATAATTAATATAGTGATGGGTGCTCTTTACTGAAGCACACACGGCAAGGCTTATAAATGGATTTTTCACCAAACAATATTTTGAGTAAATAAAGAACTTCCCTGGCTACTAAGTAATCACAAATAAATATCCTAAGAGAAATAAAAAAGGGCAGAGCCAAAAACATCCAACTGGCTTTTATGCCTAAGGCAGGACTAGAACTCTCAGTCTCCTAGTTTCTATGCCAGAACCTTAGCCACTACAGCCAACTGGCTCTCCACTTTGTAATTATAATATGTAATAATATAATAATAGTCTTAGCAATAGCTAAGAATTTCAAAAAATAGCATCCACAAGCAGTTCTACCTCAATTACTTATTCCTTTCGTTTATCCAATCAACATATACAGTCATCTAGGTGTTAATTTTTATACCTGGTTTGTGCAACCTTTCTTCCAGACGTAGCCCATCTTTTCACAAACCTCCTTCAAGATTTGGTAAGACTGGTCAGCGTCCAATTTCAAAAAGAAACGGGTCATCCTCTTTACTAAACGTTGCCAGGGGTTCTAAGAGAGACAAGGCAGAAAATGTCAGAAACTAAACTGAGCAATTCAGCTGATTTCTCCAGAACCAATATGATTTCCCAAAGTCAGGTGTTAAGGTTTTCATCAAAACCATGAATTTATCCTTTAGTTTTGTTATGGAAAAAATCATTATTAATTCCAATTATTATTATTAAATTCCAAAGCAAAGGATGGGGTTTAAAGAGGAAAGGAAAACGCAATGTATAGGTAGTCCTCGGCTTACGAGGGGTCAGAATTTCCATTGCTAAGCAAGGCAGTTAAGGAAGTCGTGCCTGATTTTACGGCCTTTTCCCCTTAAATAGGGTCAGAATTTCCGTTGCTAAGCAAGGCAGTTAAGGAATTTGTGCCTGATTTCACTGCCTTTTTTTCCAAACAGGGTCAGAATTTCCATTGCTAAGCAAGGCAGTTAAGGAGGTCGTGCCTGATTTTATGGCCTTTTCCCCTTATATAGGGTCAGAATTTCCGTTGCTAAGCAAGGCAGTTAAGGAATTTGTGCCTGATTTTATTGCTTTTTTCCAAACAGGATCAGAATTTCCATTGCTAAGCAAGGCAGTTAAGGAATTCGTGCCTGATTTTACGTCCTTTTCCCCTTAAATAGGGTCAGAATTTCCGTTACTAAGCAAGGCAGTTAAGGAATTCGTGCCTGATTTTACTGCCTTTTTTTCCAAACAGGGTCAGAATTTCCGTTGCTAAGCAAGGCAGTTAAGGAATTCGTGCCTGATTTTACTGCCTTTTTTTCCAAACAGGGTCAGAATTTCCGTTGCTAAGCAAGGCAGTAAAGGAAGCCGTATCGTGCCTGATGTTTCTCCCCCTAGTTGTGAAATTACAAATGTTAAATGAATCATGCAGCCATTAAGCAAATTGGGCTTCTTCCCATAATGACTTTGCTCGTCAGAAACTGGCTGGGAAGGGTGCAATTTAGCAATCACACGTCCCTGGGAA